GCTATTTAACTGGTTGAATGGTGGTTGCTATTTAACTGGTTGAATGGTGGTTGCTATTTAACTGGTTGAATGGTGGTTGCTATTTAACTGGTTGAATGGTGGTTGCTATTTAACTGGTTGAATGGTGGTTGCTATTTAACTGGTTGAATGGTGGTTGCTATTTAACTGGTTGAATGGTGGTTGCTATTTAACTAGTTGAATGGTGGTTGCTATTTAACTGGTTGAATGGTGGTTTGTGGTTATTTAACTGGTTGAATGGTGGTTGCTATTTAACTGGTTGAATGGTGGTTGCTATTTAACTGGTTGAATGGTGGTTGCTATTTAACTGGTTGAATCGTGGTTGCTATTTAACTGGTTGAATGGTGGTTGCTATTTAACTGGTTGAATGGTGGTTGCTATTTAACTGGTTGAATGGTGGTTGCTATTTAACTGGTTGAATGGTGGTTGCTATTTAACTGGTTGAATGGTGGTTGGTATTTAGCTGGTTAAATGAGTGTTTGGTATTTAGCTGGTTGAGTGAATGGTTGGTATTTGGCTGGTTGAGTGAATGGTTGGTATTTGGTTGGTTGAGTGAATGGTTGGTATTTGGCTGGTTGAGTGAGTGGTTGGTATTTGGTTGGTTGAGTGAATGGTTGGTATTTGGCTGGTTGAGTGAATGGTTGGTATTTGGCTGGTTGAGTGAATGGTTGGTATTTGGTTGGTTGAGTGAATGGTTGGTATTTAGCTGGTTGAGTGAGTGGTTGGTATTTGGTTGGTTGAGTGAATGGTTGGTATTTGGCTGGTTGAGTGAATGGTTGGTATTTGGTTGGTTGAGTGAATGGTTGGTATTTGGCTGGTTGAGTGAGTGGTTGATATTTGGCCGTTTTGTTTATTGGTAGCTTGGTTCCAACAATTGTGTGGAACTACAAGCAACAGCTGCTTCTTCTAGCGTTCCCGTCTGTAAATTCCCACAAAAAAATTTGGTCTTGTTTTAGAACATGCGTGTTGCGTAAACATCCTTTTTGCAATTCTGACCTGTATGTGTACAGACGGTTGGTTCCCTATCTCTCAAGCAGATGTACTCCGACTTCAAATAAAGCCCCGAGTTGGTGGACTTCTACGACATGCTCTTTGGGCAAGCAGTTGGCGTGCTCTTGTTTTCTTCGCAAATGGACCCCAGAATCGGTACGGGGACACACAGACACACAAAAGATTTAAAATGTTGCTGCCGTAGTGGGAGCAATGGTGCTGTGCCGACTGCACGCTCGCATACCGACACGGAAGTCCTGCATTTGATGCTGCACCTAGTCGGATTTTTGTTTCATGATCTTGGCTCCGAAGTCGACCCAGACTAAAACAGACACCTGATAGAGTCATGGGAAGTAAAGGAGCCCCGTATGACCACATCACCGGTCAAGTGCAGATTATTCTACACAGATATAAGTCGATCATCGCATGGTCGAAGCGTCACTGATGTACAAACGAGTCCTTTACCTTAGTTTACGAATCGAAAGTGCACTCATTGGATTATTCTTTTGCGTTTGTCTGAAGAGGTAAATGCGTTGTACCTGTTTACAGCATGGCTGCGATATAGGCGCCTTTCGGCCGACATATCCGACTTCTGCAGGTATTTATTTGTCGACAGGGATAGCTTTCCCGGTCTAACTGTGTATGAAAGTTGAACATTCTCCAAAAGCTCAAGATACTTGTCAGCTGCCTACGTCAGTGGGTCAGCGTCTGTGGCTTAGACGCTGTGGACGAGCTTCGTAATGCGTTGTGCCGGGTTCGATCCAAGGTGCGGACGGATTGTTCTGCAGTGGTTTTGATAGTGGTAGCTAGAGCTGACCGTTTAGAAAGCAATGACAAACTACTGAACGTAAAATATGCCTAGAAAACCTAAACAGCCAAAAAATGCTTGGGTTTGTTCTGCAACGTCCTTTAATTGATACGCAACTAACTTTAACATCAGTGGACACCAAATGACACTGTTATCTTTAATTTTGAGTTTTTTTAAATAGAATATTTGATGCCTGATAAAGTCAGCTGATTGGTCTTATAATTACATGTTGTTCATTTGTCAGTGTTACTGGTGACAGGGGGTGGGGGGGGGGGGGGGTGTGTCAGATAAGATTTTTTCTGAAGTGACAAGTAAAGTACTTTTGACTGATATAGTGTACTTCAATTACGAGTCTCTCTCTCTCTCTCTCTCTCTCTCTCTCTCTCTCTCTCTCTCTCTCTCTCTCTCTCTCTCTCTGTCACATACACACAAGCGCACGCACAAATGCAAAGGTGAATATGGACAGATAGATTAGGACGGACAGACAGACAGACGGGCAGACAGACGGATCTGGATGAATTTGCGCGTGGATCGGTTTATAAGTCGGTTGACAATAAGGAATGTAGGTGGATAAGAAGGTAAATATCTGAACAGACAGATGGTAAGATAGTATACAGGTCAGTAGATAGACAGACAAGTAAGTATATAGACAAGTAGTTAGATATGTAGATAAATAAGTACATAGACAGACAAGCAGGCAGGTAAGAATTAAGGCTCTCGGATTCATAGGTAGCCAGGAAGATAAGTAGCAAGGTATGCCAATAAGCTCGTTCGCAGATAAGTAGGCAGAGAGGTCTGTAGGTAGGTAGATAAATAGATTGGCAGGTAGATAAGTAGTTAGACATGTATATAGGTATGCAGACAGGCGGATAAGTTAGTAGGCTGGCAAATAAGTAGGAAGCAGACAGGTATGTAGGAAGGCAGTTGGTAGGTAGACATAAATAAGTAAGTAGGCAGCACATAGGAAGACAGTTAAGTAGGCAGCAGTGCATAGAAATAGGTAGGCAGGTATATAAGTAGGCATGCAGATAAATAGTTAGGTAGATTTGGCTAGGTATGCATGCTGAGGTTATAAAGGCAGCGTTAGCTTAAAACTAAGCTGATTTGGAATCACTCTGAGACAGGCGATTAAAGAAAAACAATGCACTGCAGCTGAAGCGACCTAGGGCTGGGTGACTAACAACAACTGCTGGTGATGGAGCAGCTATCAGTGATGACAGTGGAGCCTGGGAGTGCGGAGACTGAATCGATATCATACAACTCACACAGCACAGAGTAATGTGTGTCGCACACAACACGGAAGCTCACCTTGCAGCTCTCGCTCAACGGGCACAGGTGAAACACAAGCACACGAAATGGATTCACGGGAACTGAGAGCCGCCCATTTTGTAATAAACACAAATCAACAGACGTGGAATCTTTGAGACCATTGAATCGCTGTATGTGATAAACAAGAAACTGACATATAGTGACCGGCACTCATAGAAAGAAGTAGAAAGATAGAAGGACACACTTGACAACATAACATCGGACGCTGTATTGGTGACTAGATGGGCAAGCGTCAGTGTTCACTTGATTGTGCAGAGAGGCGCTGTCGTTTAGACTAGACAGGGTCAGTTCCCGAAGTCTTAACTATATCTTTCCACTTTTATGTTGTCTAAACTGTCCTTCTATTTTTCTACTTCTTGCTATGAATGCCGATCAAAAAATGTCTGTTTATTATAATGTATAATAAGCCACAGTTGTAGAGGGGATAGGTAGTCACATGACACAGATTCATACAACTGATTCAACTATGTGAACAGTTATTCAATAGTCTGTTCCAGAAATCGTGCTTGACTTTAAAATTCTGTCAGTAACTGTTGGGTGTCTGTTGTTGAAATGTTGCATGCAACCTGTTAGTGATCATGTCCGCGTGATTATTTAAAAAAAAAAATATATACTAACGTCGAATTTTTCATTTTGCCATATTTGAAGTATATAAAACCGATATCGTTTTATATATATATATATATATATATATATATATATATATATATATATATATATATATATATATATATATATATATAAAAGGAAAATAAATTATCAATCAAACAAATATCAAATGAATTTGCCGCTTTAAGAAAACAGCAGCGCATGCGCAATTGTAAATTGAACATCATAAGGACATTAGCAGTTTAAGGCAAATATTCGTGTTGCGATGGTCTTGAAGACATGTGTTAAAGTGTGAGGGCACACCGTTTGAAAGACACCATAGCATGTATGTAAAAAAAACTATTATAATAAAACGTTTAGACACCAACTTTCTTTCTTTGTGACTCCATCACTAGCAATAGAAGAAACCGCGGTGGTAAAATGACTAGATACTGGCTTGCCGACCCTAAGGTCTTGGGTTGGAAACCGCAAGATGGATATACATTTTTTTTTTCAAAATAGAATTTGACTCCCAGGTCGACCAGCCAAAAATGGGTACCAGGTAAAGTCCTGGGAAGGAAAGTCAGCCGGTATGCTGCTGGTCATACATCACCCATCAAGTTCCCCGTGTGGGTTTCCGGGGCCCTGTTATAGGGAAAACAAGAATAGACCCACTGCCCACCCAATAGCATGTCGTAAGAACCGACTAATTGGGAGCTACCTTCAAAGTCGGAGTGCATCTGCCTGAGAGGTAAGGAACCAGCAGTCTGCATACAAATGTCAGATCTGTAAAACGGATGCACACGCAACACTCAGGTTCAAGAACATGACTACAGTCCAGAAGTGGACGAACAACCTGAACTTTCCGTCAGAGTTTACAGCTGGTGAACGCAAAGAAGAAGAAAAGGAAGATCGCTTATCAAGTGCCGATTGGATCCTGAAAATAAAAGTCTTGTATAATATCAGCTTGAAATTACTGGTCTCTTTCCTATTGTATATTATTTAGGGGTCTTTTTCCTGATCTGTGTTTTATGTTTCTCCATATTTCATATTATGCGAGCGTTTCTGTTCTTTTAAATGTTTCTCGGTTGTCTTTTTCCTTTTCTGTGAGTGTTTATCAATAGCTATCTACTATTACTTTTATCCTGTATAGTGTCGCCTAATAATGCTTGTGTAGAAATCTCCTTTACTGTGTATAAGAGTAAGATTAAAACAAGCTTGTCTTTTTTCTTTTCCTAGGGCAATTTTGGAGCCATTCGAGCTAGAAATGAACGCTGCGTGTGCATCATTGGATACCTCACATCTTTTACGCAATATACTCCAGACAAAGGACAAATACCAGAGCAAGTTCATCGAGAACAACAACAGCACTACAGCTCTAAACGACGTCTTCGTCAGGGGCTGTAACTCGGAGATGATATCCCCCCTACTGCAGAGCAAATCCAGCGATATGGCTTACAACATCAGAGATAATGATACGGATTTTGACAACGACGGAGATATTGATGTTGCTACAGACACCACTTCCTGTGCCAATGGTGGCGATCAGTCAGACGATCTTGATGAAAGGTCATTAGACACTTCCGGTCAGGAAGACGGCTCGAAGGGAATTGACCAGCAGTCGTTTTTACTGGACAGTAAGGAGGCTAAACGTGCTCATGTGGAGAACATCCTGACCAGTATGAGACAGTCCCCTCCCCAAGACACGTTGGATTCATCCACCAGTGCCCTTACTGGAGACCTGAAGCGGCAGAAGAGGAAGCAGCCCCAGCCACAGCAACATGAGGTGATCACTCTACACTCGGAAGAGTTGGCTCTTCAGCGGCAGATCCTTCAGTTGCAAGAACAAATGCAAGCCGTGAAGAGAAAAAGAGAGGAGGATTTATCTACAAACGACGATGATGATATAATCGACGATGACGTAACTGATGTGGAAAGCAGCAAGCCAAATAGTCCTCTAACTGGCGTCATTAAGAGAGCTAGGGTCGAGAATATTCTTAGCACCATGCGAGCATCGCCGCAGCTAGATAACAGCGTCGAGGTTGGTCACAGAGTATCACCGGGAAGTGAAAACGGCAAGAAACAAAAGAGGAAACAAACACAACCGCAACAGCACGACAGATCAGAACATTCAAATATCAATAGTAAATATAATATCAAAACTGATGAAGATCACATAAGTGGTGAAGATAATATACATGAAGGCCATCGCCAAAGCGGTCTTTTTGGAGCTCACGCATTATTTCGTAACAATATCTACCATCCAATGGTGAATAAAGACTGTGTTTCATCATTCCACAATGGATTTGACCCACACATTTATAGGGAAAATATTTTTAGGCATAACTTCTTTGGAATTAGACCTGATCTGGATCCGATCGCTACTGCTTTTAAGAAAGTGTCAAAAATGGCTCATCTGCGAAGTGAAGCTGATAATGTTCCCGAAGAATGCCCAAAGATTGCTACGGAGGATCTGACAAGGATTGCTGTAGCACTCAAGTCAGAGCTGACTCAAGCGGTGAGCAAGGCGATTGACACCGCAGTCAGCAAAGTCTTCAGTGAGAAACAAACGGGCATTAACTCGCAGTCTGCAGCCATAGCGGATAATAATTCGCTGCAGCAGCAGCAGCCTAATGATGACAGACGCCATCAGCCGGAGCATCAACAATCCTTCCAACAGCAAAACCATCAGCAACCTACAAATTCATTTCCTCATTTCCCACACCCAAATCAGCAGCTTCAGCATCAGCAACACCAATTGCGTCATCATCAACAACAGCAGCAGCAGCAGCAGCAGCAACAACAATCACACTCTAATCAATTTTCTGAACGCGAAGCCCTCAAAGAGACTGTAAACAACTCCCAGGGAAAGAAAAAACCGGATCTTGTGCCTTTTAGCGACCATCTTCATTTTCTAGAATGTTTCGGGAATAGATTTCACCACGATAAGATGAGCGCTTTTGACTCTCTAAATAAATCTGACAGCGAACTCATCACTCCTCACAATGGTCCTTCCATGTCCTTTCACCCTCATTTCCCATACTATCTACCAGCTCAGGTGTTGCCTTCAGTATACAACACAGGAGAGCCGGAACAGACAGAAGCATTGTCTCTTATTGTGAACACGCCAAAGAAAAAACGCACTAAAGTCACCGACACAAGGCTGAGTTCTCCAAGAGGCAAGTCCAACGTTTTACAAGACAACACTCCGAGCTCTAGTATGGACCACACAGATGCTCAGCGACACCTAGCTGTTGCCTTTCCTCACTTCCTCCCACCCATCCTCCCTACCAGCGTGGCCATCACAAACCCCTCCCTTAGTCACTCAGACTTTTTGGCTCTCAGACTCCGAGAAGCCAGTTCTTGGGAACCTCGACTGTCGAGTCCTCATGACCAGTCTCGTGGATCACCTCGTTCTCTCAATGACTCGCCTCAGTTCATGACTAAGATCGAGATGTACGAGAGAGGCAGCATGAGCCTTGCAGGTGACTTCATGGACGGAGGCGGCTCAGCGAGTGGGCTTTTAATATCCTTTTTAAATCTTTTGTTGAGGTGGGTTTATAAAGATGGTACCGTTAACGGTAAGTAAGTAAATTAGGTAAATAATATTACTCAACATAACCGTAGGTTCAAATTTGTTGCTTTTTCTTTCTTTTGCCCATATTCTGCGTTGTGCCGCCAGGTGTCATAGGTTAGCATATCATCGGTATCCGAGCTAGGATACGCTCGGTTGCTGGGTATCCTGTGATGTTGTGTACTCTCAAGGTATCAGTGACTCCTTCAATCTATCATCTTCTTGATAGTCCCCTACCTCTTGGTGTTTCTTATTTCATCTTGTACGCTGTTGTTGCTGGTATTACTAGATTCATTCTTATTAAATGGCCGAACCATTTAAGTTTATTTTTTAGTGAATTTAATTATAGGAGTTATTCCAGTTGTTCTGCTAATTTCGTCATTTCTCACAGATTTCATCTGAAATGTTTACATCCTTTCTAAAACTCACCAGTTCGCAGGTGGTCACTTTTGTTTTGCCGCTGTCCACGCAAAGTTGAAACAGTGAACAAATATATTAAACTGCACAAATACTAAAAGGTCGACGTTAACCAACCACGTCATTTGAGGGTGGGGGTGGGGTGGGTGGTAAGGGGTTGTGTGTGGAAGGGTGGGAAAAGGGGGGGGGGGGTAGTTCTTATAGACGCATTATAATCTTATGTGACAAATATAAATGGGAATCTTTCAATACTGCCACCTTCCTTCTGTCCTGTGTCCGCCACTGGAGTGCAGGTCATCAACCAACTCACGCGAAGGCGTCTTGTCCTATGCTATTGCAGCTCCCCGAATGGATTACTGGGCCCCAGGGCGGCGGAGGGGAGTGGGTGGGGGTGGGGGGGGGGTGTGGGGTGGGGGGTTGGCGAGGACTGCTTCTCCAACAAACATGTCGTAAATGCTGAATAATTGAGGGTGTACTACTGGACCTAAAGTTTGTCTAGAGAAACCCCCCCCCCCTCCCCCCCCCAACAGTATAATGCTGAGTTTGGTTCAGCAACGTCGTAAAAAGGATAGGCAACTAACTTAATTAGGAGTGTATCTGCATACAAATAAATAAGGTCTATAAAACGGATGTGCACGCAAAACTCCAGTTCTGGAGCAAGACTAAAGTGCATAAGCGGACGAACAACCAGAACTTTTCCGCCGGAGTTTACAATGTCCAGTCCCTATAGGACCAGTAGCAGTCTTTTCCTTTACACCCCCCCCCTTCCCCCCCCCCCCCCCCCCCCCCCCCCGCGTGTGTATGTGCGCTCGCAAGTGTTGATCATCCGAAAAAAAAAAACGGAGCCCTAAATCAAGAGATAATTTTAGAACCGCTTGTTTCGTTGACGAATAAATGAAAAGAAACGCCATCAAGGAACGCCAGCTGAGGTCGCCAGACAATCATTGTCTAGTGAGAGCGTCTTCACACGCAAATTAACTTCTGTAATTTGATGATCACTGTAAGAACCGGCTTCTCTATTGCTTATCTTTCGGAACTGAAATCTAGTAGTCTGGAAACAAAAACCCGGCCCTCATCTAGCGATGTTATAGCTTTCCTGGTCTCTCCCCAAGACAAACTCGCCAAAGACATTTGAAACGCTTCACCAACAGAATGGATAGCTCGAATGTCATGGCGAACACAGACTGGTTTTTGCGTCTTTCTTTGAAGCGGCGTTGAAGACTTGAAATTCAAGAAATTAAGGCCTGCCGTTTGTTGGATGATTAGCAATTACTTGGAGAAAAAATAAAGATATTTTAAGAAACAGCATTCGATTTTGTCGCCGAAGTCAATATATATGTTATTATTGTATTTCAACATGTGCTATTATGAATATCATTATAATCCCACTTTTCACTTGCTCGCTGTTGTTGTTGTTGTTGTTGTTGTTATTGTCCTTGTTTTTGTTATTGTTCTCCTTGTGCATTCTGTGAAACCATTTTGGCAGGAAATGAGTAGATCCACACACACATACAGACACACAAACAGTCACACATACACACATACAGACACACATACAGACACACAAACAGTCACACATACACACATACAGACACATATACAGACACACAAACAGTCACACATACACACATACACACACACATACAGACACACATACAGACACACAAACAGTCACACATACACACATGTAGAGGCTGACTTAATTATGGGTTTACTGAAATCGATTTGTTTTGGGCTTACAGTTTCAGATATCGTAGCTTAGCTGTAAATCATAACATTAGTGTCAACCGCCCTTAAAAAAAAAAAACCCACACACACGCACAGAAGACAAGTTGCTACTGTTGAGGGTAGACAAATAATGTAAAATATTAGTAATATTTTGTCAGTGATTTTATCCGTGAAATTGTTCTTTATTTTTACGTTTAGCTAAGAAAAAGAAATAATTACACACCGGAAACATCGTGTGGGCTCTGAGGCCCCATGGGGGGGGGGGGGGGGGAGTGGGATTTCTTGTTCCCTGACAAGCATGTGGTAAAATAAGACTAATTAGAGATGCTTCCTTCTTTCTAGTCGGACTTCATCAGCCTGAGAGGCAAGGAACCAGTTGTCACATTCGAATAGGTCATATCTGTAAAACGGCTGTGCACTCAAAATACAAAACTAAAATCAAGAAGTGGACGAACAACCATAATTTTCCACTGGCGTTTACTGCTGGTGAACACCAAGAAGAAGAAGAAGAAGAAGAAGAAGAAGAAGAAGAAGAAGAAGAAGAAGAAAAAGAAGAAAAAGAAGAAGGAACAGAAAAAAGGATTTTTGTGGTCTGGGCTCCTTGTATGGTCTTACTTGTGTTACCCCTTTACTTATTATAGTTTCTTGTTTTGAGTGTTCCACTTTTATCTAATGTCCATTTGTGATGCTAAAAGTGACCATTCGATCCATGTGCCTACAAGAGATACCACGGACAGATACACCAGACAGATACACCCAACAGATACCCTAGACAGCTACCTCAGACAGATATCCCAGACAGATACCAGAGAGATACCTCAGACAGACGCTCCAGACAGACACTCCAGACAGATACTCAAGGAAGATACTTGAGGTAAATACCCTAGAGACAGACACGCCAGATAGATGCACCTACTAGGAACCCTAGACATATAACCTAGAAAAATACCTCATTCAGATACCCTAAACAGATGCCAGACAGATATCCCAGACAGATGCCAGACAGATATCCCAGACAGATGCCTCAGACAAGTAGCATAGTTATATACCACAGACGGCCACCACAGACAGGCACCAAAGATACCCCAGACAAGTACACACAGACACCCCAAACAGATAAAAGAAACAGACAATTTGTTGTTGACATTTTCCCCAATATCTCTCTCTCTCTCTCTCTCTCTCTCTCTCTCTCTCTCTCTCTCTCTCTCTCTCTCTCTCTCTCTCTATCTCTCATGTTTACTATTTCGTGCTTCAGAAACACACCTTGACATCACAGCTTAATTTTAGAATATATAACTTCTACCTCCTCTATATCATTAGTGTTATCATCATTATCTCCTTCTCCTCTTCCTTCTTCTTCTGCACGAAAATTTCTCGATGGCCACCACCATATCTCCTCCTCCTCCTCCTTTTCTTCTTCTGCTGCTTTTCCCCCTTCTGCTCTTACTTCTTTCCGTCCACCACTATCCGAATCGGCATACAAAATCAATCCCCTCTTCCCCCTCCCCCCAACCTTTTCTCCTGTATTGAATATTACAAAAACAGCCTTGCAGTCAAACTCAAATCTCCATCTCTCAGACAGCTTCAACTCTCCACCATCTTGTCGCAGCCATTGAACTCACATCCCCATCCGCTGAAATCAAGACAAATTAAAAATTAGAAATCCCCAGTGGTACAAAACGCATTATTCTAAAGACAATTCTGGAAGATGATTAACAGTAATATATCATTTACTTGACTAAACCGGACAAAACAAACATTCGACGCAGTCTGTGAACCGTATTTTCCTTGTCAACACAATTGTTTCTGATCGCTTTGTCGGCGATGCCGCCAAGACAGCCGTAATTACATCCTTGCAAGACGTATTAATTTAATTCCTTTCCCTATTCGTCATTTACTAAACACACTTGGAGTCGAGGTTTTTTAGGATTTCTATTGACGATAAGCGTACTTTAACCTGCAGATTCAGGCAACTTCTCTTTGTTCTGTCAACACGGTGAATGTAAATCGTAATGGATTTGTCTTGGAATTGTTGATTTTGCTCTATTTAGAGTCACCGATCGTTTCTTTGGTCGTCGAGTTTTATATCAATCCAGTTTTTACAATTCTTCTGGGTGTGTTTTGTTTCATTTGTCGTGGTTTGAATTGGTAATTAAATATTTGTGTTTGTGATGTCTGCAAGGATTGGATACTCGTGTCTGTCTTTGTCAGCTGTGAAAGAAAATATGTATCGCAAGACGACAGCAGTCTCAGTGACAAGTGTGACAGGTGTCTCAGTTACAGGTGTCTCAGTGACGGGTATCTCATTGACAAGTGTCTCAGTGACAGGTGTCTTAGTTACTTGTGTTTCGGTAACAGGTGTCTCAGTGAAGGTTACATTAATGACAAGTGTCTCAGTGACAGGCGTCTTAGTAACAGGTGACTCAATGACAGGTATCTCAGTGACAGGTGTCTCAGTTTCAGTGGAAGGTATCCAGTGACTGGTATCTTTATGACAGCTGTTTCAGTGGAAGGTATCCAGTGACTGGTATCTTTATGACAGCTGTTTCAGTGGAAGGTATCTCAGTGACTGGTATCTTTATGACAGCTGTTTCAGTGGAAGGTATCTCAGTGACTGGTATCTTTATGACAGCTGTTTTAAGGAAAAGTATCTCAGTTATTGGTGTCTTAGTGACAGTGTCTCAGTGGAAGGTATCTCAGTGATTGCTGTCTTAGTGACAGATGTCTCAATGGAAGGTGTCGCATCGTCTGAGTGGGAGGTATCTGAGTGATTCGACAATCTTTATAGAGGC